CTGGATTTTAAATCAATCAGTGACTATAATTCTGCCATGTTCCAAATAACATCTAAACTTAAGTTATGCGGACAAAAGGTCACTGATGCTGATATGTTGGAAAAAACCTTTTCTACTATGCATATTTCTAACATGCTGCTCCAACAGCAATAGAGAGAAAAATGTTTTAAAAAAAACTCCAACTTAATATCAGTATTACTTGTAAGTTGTAACTGAGCAAAATAATGACCTTTTGATAAAAAATCACAATTTGAGACCCACTGCTTCTAGTCCTTCTATTTATGGTCCATCCGGCCAAAATTTAGCCACTGAATCAAATGCAACACACAGTGGCAGTTGAAGGCATTTTAAACGTGGGCATTTTAAGGATCATAATAACAAGTCCCACCGAGGATATAAACGGGTTGATAGATCGAATTACAAGGGCAAGGGCAAACAAAACACCCATCAAATAAATCGCCCTACAAAACCCTCGGTGAAGACGACTTGTTACAAATGTGGCATGACGGGGCACTGGGCAAACAAATGTCGTACTGCTAAACATTTGGTGGAATTATTTCAAGCTTCCATGAATCTCAACAAAGGCAAAAATGTAGAAGCTAATTATGTTAATGACACAACTTTACCTCTGCCAAATTTTGACGTGTCCGACTTCTTTATGGATGATGTCATTATGGACGATGCGTTTTCCATAAACCCAAATGTCACAAAATAAAATATTCGACTTCTTATGTTGTAACATATTAGTTTTATGTACTTTTTCTTTCTTCCCCTTTTATTTTGTTTTTAAATAAATGTGTGTAATATATGTACTTTTATGGTAAATAATATGCATAATTTGTGATATCTACATATCAAACTTATGTTTATTTGTATATATTGAAGATATGAATCACTCAAATGATAAAGAGCTATGTCTGATAGACAGCACCACAACGCACACCATTTTGAGAAATAAAATATATTTTTCTCAAATGACTTTAGTTGAAGCTAAAGTCAATACAATATCAGGTGTTGCAAAGCTCATTGAAGGCTGTGGGAAAGCATATGTGATGCTCCCTAACGGGACAAAAATAATTATAAATGACGCTTTATACTCCAGCAAATCGCGGAGAAATTTATTAAGTTTTAAAGACATGCGTCAAAATGGTTATCACATAGAAACCATGTAACACCGCCCCCAAGTATTTGTATTTTATCAAATTATGTATAAACCAGAGAAATGAATAAACGCACTTTTACGTGATTGTGAATTTTTATCATTTCTTTTACGTGAATAGTAAAATTCACGTAGGGCCCACACTGGAAGTGGGGGCCGCCCGATATGTTCGGGACCACATATTATATTCATTTGGTTCAAGATAATATGTGTATAATGGTGGACATCCTTGTTGGGCCATAGGAATCATGTGAGTAACCAGTCGGGCATAAAAAGCCCATTTATCGGTACCGACGCACTAACAGATAAAAAGCCATAATAAATTATGGAGACCCCCCAAATTAAAAGTTGGGGAATATACATTCATTCTTATAGCCAATAATAATTGGAAGAATGATAGATATTTCATTTTACTCGATAAAATGAAATATAGTTAAAACAGTCCGGAAAATACAACTTTCGGGACCGAGGGTACACTCGGGGACACAAAGGGATGACTTCCCACAAATGTGGGGGCCATCCCACGTTTTGATCTTGAAAATAATATGGAAAGCACCATTCTGAGCCAAAGAAACAATGAGGAGGTGCTGGGGAGACAAAGTGAGAAGAGAAAGGGGGACCCTCCCTCATATAATTGGGAATAAGCCAAAATGCCATTCCCATCACCCTCAACCACCATCTACTCGTATCATTCATCTTCCAGAAGGTGAGGAGCTCTAAAACTACTTCATCTCTTCATCTGATTTTCGCACGACAAAAAGGAAGAGGAAGAAAGCAAAGTGGAAGAAAAGAGAAGGGAAAAGAGAAGAAAACTTGAGGGTTTACAAGGTAATGACTTATCAATCCCATTCCTTTCCTTAATCTTCCCATATGATTATATAATCATATTTCATACCCCTAGGATCATTCTACATGTTATATGTGAAGAATGAGGGGTTGGAAGATTGGTTCATATCCAAAACGGATTTAGAGAACAAAGTTGACCGATTCGTCGGGGAGTAACCTTTTAGAGGTTATTTGTATTGATATGGGTTTTATGATGATAAAACCTTGTTAATAACTTGTATAAGGTGTTTCAAGAACTTTCACGGAGTTGAAAGGGTCGCCGGAGTTGTCGCCGGAGTTCATTGAAGTTCACCGGAGTTTCACCGGAGCTCAATCGGGAAGGGCTAGAACTCCATAAGCTTCATTAAGGTGAGAAGACGGCTATATGCTTTATAACTTTTGATTGAGGCATGAGATTACCTAAAGTAATCAAGTATATGTTTTACGGAATGATTAAAGTTAATCAAGTATTGGCTTATGCCATGATTATACATAAAACAAAGTTGAAAAGCATGTTTTGTATGTTTGGTGATTAAAAATGTGATAACTTATTATGTACAATGATCCAGGGGTCAAAAATGGTATTTTTGGATCAAGGACTTCAAGTAGAATATGCATGTAAAATTTCACGTTAATCGGACTCCGTTTGGGCGGTCAAACGGGCGTTGACCGCCAAGTCAACTACAATACCCGACCGGGTGTCTGCTGAAAAATTGGCCCCAAGGGCCGCTGTCTCCTATACCCGATCGAGTATGGATAGATACTCGATCGAGTATGCCTTGAAAATTAGCCTTATGGGCTCCTGTCTCCTGTACTCGACCGAGTATTGATGGGTACTCGATCGAGTATTGGGTTATACTCAAAATGGATAGTTTTTGAGTAGGTTAACGTGGACCGATCAGGTGGGACCCGTCCACGTTGGTTACTAAGGATTATTATATGACTATAGGACTAGGTATTGTCCATAGTTAAGTGAATGCAAGGTTAGCCATATCCAGGTTAGGGTTTGGTTAGAAATAAGGTTGAGGTTGAGTATCCTCGGGACGGTAAATGATCCTAAAACTCGGTGAGGTTGAGTATCCTCAGGACGGTAAACAATCCTAAAACTCGGTTGAGGTTGAGCATCCTCGGGACGGTAAATGATCCTAAAACTCGGTTGAGGTTGAGCATCCTCGGGACGGTAAATGATCCTAAAACTCGGTTGAGGTTGAGCATCCTCGGGACGGTAAATGATCCCAAAACTCGGATGGGGTTGAGTATCCCCGGGAGGGTTAACACTCCTGAAACTCGGTAGGATATTATGAAGGTAGAATGTAGCTCTTAAGCTAGGCATTCAGGAATGAAAGGGGAAAGGTTGGGTAAGTACCTTGTCTCTAAAAGACTCTTTTGTGAGAAAACGACCTACGGGTCAAGTATTTTACAAGTATATACAGTATGTATTATCTTGGGAATGGGGTGACAATGGTTACACCTATAAATATATGTATCATCCTATTTTTGGGTCTCGTGTCTGAGACATTAGTTATTCCTCATATAGCCTGCTTGTCACTAGTACTTCTATGGAGTACTGACCCCTTCGGGGGCCCTCACATTTTTCAGGTTGAGGCTAGAGTCCTGCCACCTGTACCTTTGCCCAGGGTGAACTCAAATAAGGAAGACGTGGTTCGTGCTTCCATTCTTATTTGAAATTATGAAATTGCTCATGGATATTTGAACGATGTTTTCTATTAAACTATTGAAGGGCCTGCGTGCTCATGTTTGCCACGTGTGGCTAAATGTCAAACATATTTTATTTCCGCATTTGTTTGATTTATATATTGATGTTGATTGTATGGGTTTACTAATCGGTTTGGCAATAGAATCTATCGGACGCCTTGTATTATTTGATAAGAATGAACTACGTTGTTCTTATTGGGTTGTACGGCGGTTGTCTACGTGGCACGGATGCGGTCCGGGGCGTGACAATTAAGTGGTATCAGAGCCAGGTTTTCTAAACTATATGATTAACCTCTCAATATAGTATCATAAAAAATGTTTTGAGCAAAACCATGAGCAAAAGTTTTTGTACTTAAGGAACCGTTGGAAACCAAGTTATTGACCTCTTATTGTTAAGACGGTACCCTTAACAGTTTGTTGGCCATAATGTTGGACCAAGTGGGGTCTTTTGTACTATTCCGTCAATCGACATTGATACGAGTCTAACGGCTCATTCCAAATTTCTTTCAGAAATGGAGGGTAGACGCATGGGTACGAGGAACAACCCGAGAGGGCAAGCTCCGGTGACGTCCGAAGGGGCTAGCCAGGTTGCATCTCGGGGCGCGAGAGGCGGTAGGAGAGGCCGTGGAGGCCGTGGAGGCCGGGGAGGTCATCGGGCTCAAACTGTGAGCAATGGCCATGTTAGCTCGGTGCATGGAACTCACACCGAGGATTACGACTCTACATATGTTCCCGAGACGGAACATGAGGAGACCCCATATGATGGGGGTGATACGTATACTGATGATGACAACGATGAGAGTGATGCCAAATTCGCCCAGATGGGTGAACTGTTTGAGTGGTATCAAAAGGAGAAGTTGAGGAGAGATCTTAGGCGTCAAGCTAGGCGTGCCTCTCAGGGGGCTTCAGGTCACGGAAGCCGGGGAGCATCAGTGGCTACACCTGTGGTGTCACAGGGAATGCATGGAGGAGGTGTTTGTGTAAGAATCTCCAAATACCTCAAGGAGGCTAGGGCCTTGGGGTGCAAGTCATTTGATGGCAAGGGTGATATATCGGTGGCTGCCGATTGGATAAAGAAGCTAAATGAGGCTGCTAGAGATATGCAGATCGGGCTTGACATAAAGCTAACAATAGCTACCAGGCTACTGGAGGGAGTAGCTGCTGTATGGTGGGAAGGCGTGGAAGGGAAGTTCCACGGTGAGACCACCTGGGAGAAATTTGAAGTAGAATTCTATAATCAGTACTACTCAGAGTTCGAAAAGAACCAGAAGAGGAAGGAGTACATGACTCTGGTACAGGAGGAGGATTGCTCGGTGAGGCAACTGGAACAAAGGTTCCGGGACTTGGCACGATACATACCTGAGTACGCCATGGATGAGAACCGCATGGCTAATCACTTCTGGGATACCCTACAGTTGGATATCCGTGATAGGGCCACCTACAATCATCACATGACTTTTAGTGAGATTGTGGATCAAGGGCTACTTGGGGAAGCCAAGTGGAATGAAAGGAAGAAGAGAGACGCCGAAGAGGCGAAGAAAAGAAGATGGGGAAATTCTGGACCCCAAGACCATTCTCGGAAACATCACGCCGGGAATGGAAGATCATTCAGGGCGCCGGAACCACCGGCAAAGAAGAGTAAGGGCCCAGGAGGGCAAGGGCATAGCTCGGGGAGCGTGAGGCCACCAAGGTGTCCGAACTGTAACAGGAATCACTCCGGGAAGTGCAATGAACCACCCCGGTGCTACAAGTGTGGTAGCACAAGCCACCTCAAACTCTCTTGCCCAATGTTGAGTGGAGGTGGGCCATCGGGAGCTGTTGAGGCACCTACGTCTGGTAAGGGTCCTGCGGGACCATCTCAAGGCGGCACGGGAAGGGGCGGACCCACGGCCAGTAACGCCGCGTCCGTTAACCAAGGGAGGACCCAAGCACGGGTGTATGCAATGACCGAGGCCGATGCTCGGGCTAACCCGGACTCTATTGCAGGTAACCCCTTGATTCCACATGCAGTTTTTCATCTGTTTTAAAGTTAAAATCTGCAGGAAACATGTGATACCCGATCGGGTATCCATATATACCCGACCGGGTATGAGAAAATTGCTCGGTTTTGAGGTGGGTACTCGTTCGAGCAAGTTTAGCAGAACCCTCCGATTTTGGCAAATCCAGCCCTACTCGACCGGGTATGGTTATATACTCGATCGAGTATTAGTAAATTTTTGTTTTTGAGGCGTGTACTCGATCGAACGGCGTAGGCAGACAGTTTTTATTTAACACTTTGAGTGATACCCGACCGAGTATGGGCATATACCCGACCGGGTATAGATAGTTTGTTCGGGTTCAGGGTGTGTACTCGACCGGGCAAGGATAACAGGGAGTTTTTCCTTAAGGACTCGAGCTATACCCGACCGGGTATAGGGTCCTACCCGACCGAGTATAGTATAGTCCTAAGCCGGGAGTTGTTTCGCTAAGTCCTTTTCAGTCGGGACGTTATGTCGAGTGTCTTACATGGCTTGTATATGTAGGGACGCTAAAGATCAATGGTAAACACGCGAGAATTCTCATCGACACCGGGGCGCAACGTTCATTTATAAGCGAAGCGTTTGCCAAGGGATTGGGCATGTCGTTAGTAGCAATGGCGCAACCTTTGTGGGTCTCTACACCGTTGGGAGATGATGTAGAGAGGAAGCACTACTATCCTTCATGTAATGTGGAGATAGGGGAGCACCGTCTAATGGGCGACCTTGTACCGTTAGACATGCTTGAGTTCGATGCCATACTCGGCATGGACTGGCTTGAGAAACACCATGCAAAGGTAGATTGCTACACCAAGGTGTTAGAATTAGAAGACGAAGAGGGAAATACTCTATGCTTCGAGGGAGATAGAGGAAAATTCAATCCCTGTATCATATCGGCCTTAAGGGCGAGGCGGTTGATGAAGAAAGGTTATCAAGCATACTTAGCCTATGTCCTAGGCAAGGAGGGCAAAGGAAAGAGCCTCACGGAGGTGAGGGTGGTGAGGGAGTATCCAGAAGTTTTCCCTGAAGAACTCCCGGGACTCCCACCAGATCGGGAGATCGAGTTTGAGATTGAGGTTGAACCAGGCACCAAACCCATCTCAATTCCTCCGTATCGAATGACACCGGCTGAACTTCAAGAGTTGAAAGTTCAATTGGAAGAGCTACTAGATAACGGATTCATTAGACCGAGTCATTCGCCATGGGGAGCACCCGTACTCTTTGTAAAGAAGAAGGATGGTACAATGAGAATGTGTATTGACTACCGTCAATTGAACAAGGTCACGGTAAAGAACAAGTACCCTTTGCCAAGGATTGACGACTTGTTTGATCAATTACGGGGGGCAACCGTGTTCTCCAAGATCGACTTGACGTCGGGCTACCATCAACTGAAGATCAAGGAGAGTGACATACCCAAGAGTGCATTCCGTACAAGGTATGGTCACTATGAGTTCCTAGTGATGTCGTTCGGGCTTACAAATGCCCCCGCGGCATTCATGGACCTCATGAACCGAGTATTTCATCAATACTTGGACCAATTCGTCATAGTGTTCATTGATGACATTTTGATATACTCCAAGAACGAAGAAGAACACGAGAAACATCTAAGGCTCGTACTTGGAACACTGCGGGAGAAGCAACTCTTTGCCAAATTTTCTAAGTGTGAATTTTGGCTTGGGGAGATCGGTTTTCTCGGGCACGTGGTATCAGGTTCGGGCATTTCAGTGGATAACTCGAAGATTGAAGCAGTCACTAATTGGGAGAGGCCCAAGAATGTGAAGGAAATAAGGAGTTTCCTTGGTTTAGCGGGGTATTACCGCAAATTCGTGGAGAAGTTCTCCGTAATAGCATCTCCACTCACGAATCTCACTAAAAAGGGAGCTAAGTTTGTGTGGGATGACAAGTGTGAGAAGGGGTTTCTTGAGCTAAAGAAACGATTGACTGAAGCACCAGTACTTGCCCTACCCGTGCAAGGGTTGGGGTATGACATCTATAGCGATGCTAGCATCCAGGGGCTTGGGTGCGTACTGATGCAAGCGGGGAAGGTAATTGCTTATGCTTCTCGGCAACTGAGGAAGCATGAAGTGAATTACCCCACTCATGACCTTGAGCTAGGGGCTGTGGTGTTTGCTTTGAAGATTTGGAGGCATTACCTCTACTGTGAGGTGTGTCACATCTATACTGATCACAAGAGTTTGAAGTACGTGTTCACTCAGAAAGAGTTGAACATGAGGCAAAGAAGATGGATGGAGTTAATCAAGGATTACAACTTGATTATAGATTACCATCCAGGTAAGGCTAACGTGGTTGCTGATGCTCTCAGTAGGAAAAGTTCATCAGGGGTTCTACTCACATGCTTACGAGCATTGAGGGCACACGTGGAAGTATCCACGAATGGGGCCCTATTGGCCAGATTTGAGGTGAGACCCACCTTATTAGATGAAATCAGGACGCGCCAGGGCAATGACGAGGAAATTCAGAAAATCCGGGAACAGATGCTTGTGGGGCCCATCGAGGGTTTCCGTGAAAGAGAGGATGGACTCTTACTATCCAAGGAACGGGTGTGCGTGCCATCAGATGAGGAGCTCCGTAAATCTATTCTTGAGGAGGCTCACTCATCTGTGTATGCCATGCACCCAGGTGGTACAAAGATGTACCGGGACTTGAAAGAAAGTTACTGGTGGTCAGGGATGAAGAGAGAGATTGCAGAATACGTGAGTCGTTGCCTTACCTGTCAGCAGGTTAAAGCAGAACACCAACACCCAGCAGGATTATTACAGCCGCTTACCATCCCAGAATGGAAGTGGGAGCATGTTACTATGGACTTCGTGGTAGGTCTGCCACGGACGGTTAGGAACTACGACGCGGTATGGGTGGTGGTTGATAGGCTGATCAAAAGTGCTCATTTCCTACCTATCAACACTACTTATACGCTTGAGCGACTGGCCAAGTTGTATACAGATGAGATCGTGAGATTGCATGGGATTCCGGTTACTATAGTGTCGGATAGAGACCCACGGTTCACATCACGGTTTTGGCCTAAGTTCCAGGAATCCATGGGAACGAAGTTGAGGTTTAGCACCGCGTTCCATCCTCAAACGGATGGGCAATCTGAACGGGTGATTCAGATTTTGGAGGACATGTTGAGGGCATGTGCCTTAGAGTTCCAAGGAAGTTGGGACAACCAGTTGGCTTTGGTGGAATTTGCTTATAACAACAGTTATCAAGCAAGTATAGGCATGCCTCCATACGAGGCATTGTATGGGAGGAAATGTCGGACACCCTTGTGTTGGGATGAGGTTGGCGAGGCCAAGCTTGAGGGTACTGAGCTAGTTGAGATCACCAAGGAGAAGGTGAAGCTTATCCAGGATAGGCTCAAGGCTGCCCAAGATCGACAGAAGAGCTACGCAGATAAACGTCGGAGGACGTTGGAGTTTGAGATCGGTGATGAGGTATTTCTGAGGGTGTCACCTTGGAAAGGGATCATCAGGTTCCTTAGTCGGGGTAAGCTTAACCCACGCTACATAGGCCCATTCAAAATCATTGAAAGAATTGGGGTTGTAGCGTATCAGCTTCAGCTAACTCCAGAATTGGAAAAGATTCATAACGTATTTCATGTTTCCATGCTCAAGAAGTATGTGCGGGACCCGTCACATATTCTTGAGAAACCACCGGTAGAAATCCGGGAAGACCTTCACTATGCGGTGCAGCCGGTAAAGATCATGGACCGACAGGTAAAGAAGCTAAGGAGTAAAGAAGTACCGATGGTGAAGGTGCTTTGGAAGAGTGATCGTGTCGAGGAGCAAACTTGGGAAGTGGAGACCCTGATGAGGGAACAGTATCCGTTTCTGTTTGACTAGACACGTGGATTTCGGGGACGAAATCCCAAATAAGGGGGGTAGAACTTGTAACACCGCCCCCAAGTATTTGTATTTTATCAAATTATGTATAAACCAGAGAAATGAATAAACGCACTTTTACGTGATTGTGAATTTTTATCATTTCTTTTACGTGAATAGTAAAATTCACGTAGGGCCCACACTGGAAGTGGGGGCCGCCCGATATGTTCGGGACCACATATTATATTCATTTGGTTCAAGATAATATGTGTATAATGGTGGACATCCTTGTTGGGCCATAGGAATCATGTGAGTAACCAGTCGGGCATAAAAAGCCCATTTATCGGTACCGACGCACTAACAGATAAAAAGCCATAATAAATTATGGAGACCCCCCAAATTAAAAGTTGGGGAATATACATTCATTCTTATAGCCAATAATAATTGGAAGAATGATAGATATTTCATTTTACTCGATAAAATGAAATATAGTTAAAACAGTCCGGAAAATACAACTTTCGGGACCGAGGGTACACTCGGGGACACAAAGGGATGACTTCCCACAAATGTGGGGGCCATCCCACGTTTTGATCTTGAAAATAATATGGAAAGCACCATTCTGAGCCAAAGAAACAATGAGGAGGTGCTGGGGAGACAAAGTGAGAAGAGAAAGGGGGACCCTCCCTCATATAATTGGGAATAAGCCAAAATGCCATTCCCATCACCCTCAACCACCATCTACTCGTATCATTCATCTTCCAGGGAGGTGAGGAGCTCTAAAACTACTTCATCTCTTCATCTGATTTTCGCACAACAAAAAGGAAGAGGAAGAAAGCAAAGTGGAAGAAAAGAGAAGGGAAAAGAGAAGAAAACTTGAGGGTTTACAAGGTAATGACTTATCAATCCCATTCCTTTCCTTAATCTTCCCATATGATTATATAATCATATTTCATACCCCTAGGATCATTCTACATGTTATATGTGAAGAATGAGGGGTTGGAAGATTGGTTCATATCCAAAACGGATTTAGAGAACAAAGTTGACCGATTCGTCGGGGAGTAACCTTTTAGAGGTTATTTGTATTGATATGGGTTTTATGATGATAAAACCTTGTTAATAACTTGTATAAGGTGTTTCAAGAACTTTCACGGAGTTGAAAGGGTCGCCGGAGTTGTCGCCGGAGTTCATTGAAGTTCACCGGAGTTTCACCGGAGCTCAATCGGGAAGGGCTAGAACTCCATAAGCTTCATTAAGGTGAGAAGACGGCTATATGCTTTATAACTTTTGATTGAGGCATGAGATTACCTAAAGTAATCAAGTATATGTTTTACGGAATGATTAAAGTTAATCAAGTATTGGCTTATGCCATGATTATACATAAAACAAAGTTGAAAAGCATGTTTTGTATGTTTGGTGATTAAAAATGTGATAACTTATTATGTACAATGATCCAGGGGTCAAAAATGGTATTTTTGGATCAAGGACTTCAAGTAGAATATGCATGTAAAATTTCACGTTAATCGGACTCCGTTTGGGCGGTCAAACGGGCGTTGACCGCCAAGTCAACTACAATACCCGACCGGGTGTCTGCTGAAAAATTGGCCCCAAGGGCCGCTGTCTCCTATACCCGATCGAGTATGGATAGATACTCGATCGAGTATGCCTTGAAAATTAGCCTTATGGGCTCCTGTCTCCTGTACTCGACCGAGTATTGATGGGTACTCGATCGAGTATTGGGTTATACTCAAAATGGATAGTTTTTGAGTAGGTTAACGTGGACCGATCAGGTGGGACCCGTCCACGTTGGTTACTAAGGATTATTATATGACTATAGGACTAGGTATTGTCCATAGTTAAGTGAATGCAAGGTTAGCCATATCCAGGTTAGGGTTTGGTTAGAAATAAGGTTGAGGTTGAGTATCCTCGGGACGGTAAATGATCCTAAAACTCGGTGAGGTTGAGTATCCTCAGGACGGTAAACAATCCTAAAACTCGGTTGAGGTTGAGCATCCTCGGGACGGTAAATGATCCTAAAACTCGGTTGAGGTTGAGCATCCTCGGGACGGTAAATGATCCTAAAACTCGGTTGAGGTTGAGCATCCTCGGGACGGTAAATGATCCCAAAACTCGGATGGGGTTGAGTATCCCCGGGAGGGTTAACACTCCTGAAACTCGGTAGGATATTATGAAGGTAGAATGTAGCTCTTAAGCTAGGCATTCAGGAATGAAAGGGGAAAGGTTGGGTAAGTACCTTGTCTCTAAAAGACTCTTTTGTGAGAAAACGACCTACGGGTCAAGTATTTTACAAGTATATACAGTATGTATTATCTTGGGAATGGGGTGACAATGGTTACACCTATAAATATATGTATCATCCTATTTTTGGGTCTCGTGTCTGAGACATTAGTTATTCCTCATATAGCCTGCTTGTCACTATAACGTCTATGGAGTACTGACCCCTTCGGGGGCCCTCACATTTTTCAGGTTGAGGCTAGAGTCCTGCCACCTGTACCTTTGCCCAGGGTGAACTCAAATAAGGAAGACGTGGTTCGTGCTTCCATTCTTATTTGAAATTATGAAATTGCTCATGGATATTTGAACGATGTTTTCTATTAAACTATTGAAGGGCCTGCGTGCTCATGTTTGCCACGTGTGGCTAAATGTCAAACATATTTTATTTCCGCATTTGTTTGATTTATATATTGATGTTGATTGTATGGGTTTACTAATCGGTTTGGCAATAGAATCTATCGGACGCCTTGTATGATTTGATAAGAATGAACTACGTTGTTCTTATTGGGTTGTACGGCGGTTGTCTACGTGGCACGGATGCGGTCCGGGGCGTGACAATTAAGTGGTATCAGAGCCAGGTTTTCTAAACTATATGATTAACCTCTCAATATAGTATCATAAAAAATGTTTTGAGCAAAACCATGAGCAAAAGTTTTTGTACTTAAGGAACCGTTGGAAACCAAGTTATTGACCTCTTATTGTTAAGACGGTACCCTTAACAGTTTGTTGGCCATAATGTTGGACCAAGTGGGGTCTTTTGTACTATTCCGTCAATCGACATTGATACGAGTCTAACGGCTCATTCCAAATTTCTTTCAGAAATGGAGGGTAGACGCATGGGTACGAGGAACAACCCGAGAGGGCAAGCTCCGGTGACGTCCGAAGGGGCTAGCCAGGTTGCATCTCGGGGCGCGAGAGGCGGTAGGAGAGGCCGTGGAGGCCGTGGAGGCCGGGGAGGTCATCGGGCTCAAACTGTGAGCAATGGCCATGTTAGCTCGGTGCATGGAACTCACACCGAGGATTACGACTCTACATATGTTCCCGAGACGGAACATGAGGAGACCCCATATGATGGGGGTGATACGTATACTGATGATGACAACGATGAGAGTGATGCCAAATTCGCCCAGATGGGTGAACTGTTTGAGTGGTATCAAAAGGAGAAGTTGAGGAGAGATCTTAGGCGTCAAGCTAGGCGTGCCTCTCAGGGGGCTTCAGGTCACGGAAGCCGGGGAGCATCAGTGGCTACACCTGTGGTGTCACAGGGAATGCATGGAGGAGGTGTTTGTGTAAGAATCTCCAAATACCTCAAGGAGGCTAGGGCCTTGGGGTGCAAGTCATTTGATGGCAAGGGTGATATATCGGTGGCTGCCGATTGGATAAAGAAGCTAAATGAGGCTGCTAGAGATATGCAGATCGGGCTTGACATAAAGCTAACAATAGCTACCAGGCTACTGGAGGGAGTAGCTGCTGTATGGTGGGAAGGCGTGGAAGGGAAGTTCCACGGTGAGACCACCTGGGAGAAATTTGAAGTAGAATTCTATAATCAGTACTACTCAGAGTTCGAAAAGAACCAGAAGAGGAAGGAGTACATGACTCTGGTACAGGAGGAGGATTGCTCGGTGAGGCAACTGGAACAAAGGTTCCGGGACTTGGCACGATACATACCTGAGTACGCCATGGATGAGAACCGCATGGCTAATCACTTCTGGGATACCCTACAGTTGGATATCCGTGATAGGGCCACCTACAATCATCACATGACTTTTAGTGAGATTGTGGATCAAGGGCTACTTGGGGAAGCCAAGTGGAATGAAAGGAAGAAGAGAGACGCCGAAGAGGCGAAGAAAAGAAGATGGGGAAATTCTGGACCCCAAGACCATTCTCGGAAACATCACGCCGGGAATGGAAGATCATTCAGGGCGCCGGAACCACCGGCAAAGAAGAGTAAGGGCCCAGGAGGGCAAGGGCATAGCTCGGGGAGCGTGAGGCCACCAAGGTGTCCGAACTGTAACAGGAATCACTCCGGGAAGTGCAATGAACCACCCCGGTGCTACAAGTGTGGTAGCACAAGCCACCTCAAACTCTCTTGCCCAATGTTGAGTGGAGGTGGGCCATCGGGAGCTGTTGAGGCACCTACGTCTGGTAAGGGTCCTGCGGGACCATCTCAAGGCGGCACGGGAAGGGGCGGACCCACGGCCAGTAACGCCGCGTCCGTTAACCAAGGGAGGACCCAAGCACGGGTGTATGCAATGACCGAGGCCGATGCTCGGGCTAACCCGGACTCTATTGCAGGTAACCCCTTGATTCCACATGCAGTTTTTCATCTGTTTTAAAGTTAAAATCTGCAGGAAACATGTGATACCCGATCGGGTATCCATATATACCCGACCGGGTATGAGAAAATTGCTCGGTTTTGAGGTGGGTACTCGTTCGAGCAAGTTTAGCAGAACCCTCCGATTTTGGCAAATCCAGCCCTACTCGACCGGGTATGGTTATATACTCGATCGAGTATTAGTAAATTTTTGTTTTTGAGGCGTGTACTCGATCGAACGGCGTAGGCAGACAGTTTTTATTTAACACTTTGAGTGATACCCGACCGAGTATGGGCATATACCCGACCGGGTATAGATAGTTTGTTCGGGTTCAGGGTGTGTACTCGACCGGGCAAGGATAACAGGGAGTTTTTCCTTAAGGACTCGAGCTATACCCGACCGGGTATAGGGTCCTACCCGACCGAGTATAGTATAGTCCTAAGCCGGGAGTTGTTTCGCTAAGTCCTTTTCAGTCGGGACGTTATGTCGAGTGTCTTACATGGCTTGTATATGTAGGGACGCTAAAGATCAATGGTAAACACGCGAGAATTCTCATCGACACCGGGGCGCAACGTTCATTTATAAGCGAAGCGTTTGCCAAGGGATTGGGCATGCCGTTAGTAGCAATGGCGCAACCTTTGTGGGTCTCTACACCGTTGGGAGATGATGTAGAGAGGAAGCACTACTATCCTTCATGTAATGTGGAGATAGGGGAGCACCGTCTAATGGGCGACCTTGTACCGTTAGACATGCTTGAGTTCGATGCCATACTCGGCATGGACTGGCTTGAGAAACACCATGCAAAGGTAGATTGCTACACCAAGGGGTTAGAATTAGAAGACGAAGAGGGAAATACTCTATGCTTCGAGGGAGATAGAGGAAAATTCAATCCCTGTATCATATCGGCCTTAAGGGCGAGGCGGTTGATGAAGAAAGGTTATCAAGCATACTTAGCCTATGTCCTAGGCAAGGAGGGCAAAGGAAAGAGCCTCACGGAGGTGAGGGTGGTGAGGGAGTATCCAGAAGTTTTCCCTGAAGAACTCCCGGGACTCCCACCAGATCGGGAGATCGAGTTTGAGATTGAGGTTGAACCAGGCACCAAACCCATCTCAATTCCTCCGTATCGAATGGCACCGGCTGAACTTCAAGAGTTGAAAGTTCAATTGGAAGAGCTACTAGATAACGGATTCATTAGACCGAGTCATTCGCCATGGGGAGCACCCGTACTCTTTGTAAAGAAGAAGGATGGTACAATGAGAATGTGTATTGACTACCGTCAATTGAACAAGGTCACGGTAAAGAACAAGTACCCTTTGCCAAGGACATGCTATTTTGCATGCAGCAAATTTAATTCAGCTTAGACCGACTACTTATTATGAATATTCCCCAATGCAATTAGTTACTGGACAAGAGCCAAACTTAGCACACATAAAAATATTTGGTTGTGCTGTTTATGTTCCGATTGTTCCACCTCATCGTACAAAAATGGGTCCTCAAAGAAGATTGAGAATTTATGTTGGATTTGAATCTCCCTTAATAATAAAATATCTTGAACCAATGACTGGTGACTTATTCACCGCACGGTTCGCTGACTGTCATTTCAATGAGACAGTATTCCCAACCTTAGGGGCAGAAACCAATAAATCGGACCCAAGTACGAAAGAAATAACATGAAATGCAACAAGATTATCACACCTTGATTCTAGATCAAATATATGTGAGCAAGAGGTGCAAAAGATAATTCATTTACAAAATGTTGCAAATCAGTTGCCTGATGCATTCACAGATACAAAGAAAGTGACAAAGTCACATATTCCTGCTATGAATGCTCCTGCCAGAATCGAAATTCCTGCAGAGAATTCTGAAAAATTTCCTGCAAATGATTCTTCTATACGCAAAAAACGTGGCAAGCCACTTGGATCAAAAGACATAAAACCAAGAAAATCTAAAAGACAGGAATTGATTTGTGATGCCAAAGATGTTCATCCTTCTGAACAAGAAAATGAACAATTTGAAAATACTAGCATAGAAAATGATATTAACAAAAACAAACATCTCAAATAATGATCCAACTTCCTTAAATGAGGAAGATATTCCAGATACTGATAGAAATGTTGATAATTATGAAATTTCAATAAATTACGTTTCTACTGGAATGCAATGGAATCGAAAAGATATTGATATTAATGAGATATTTGTCTATGCCGTTGCCACGAATGTAATGAATGAAAACAGTGAAAATGAGCCAACATCAATTGAAGAATGTCGGAAACGACAAGATTGGCCAAAATGGAATGAAGCTATTCATGCTGAATTAAAATCACTTGAAAAACGTGATGTTTTTGGACCGATAGTCCCTACGCCAAACAGCGTAATACCTGTGGGTTTTAAATGGGTATTTGTGCGTAAACGCAATGAAAAGAATGAAATTGTTAGATATAAAACCCGACTTGTTGCCCAAGGTTTTTCTCAAATGCCGAGAATTGATTATGAAGTAACCTATTCTCCAGTAGTTGATGCGATTACATTAAGGTTTCTCATTGGCATGTCTGTTTTTGAAAGGCAGCAAATGCGCCTAATGGATGTAGTGACCGCATATTTATACGGTTCACTCGATACAGACATTTATATGAAAGTTCCTGATGGATTTAAAATGCCTGAAGCTTATAGCTCAAAACCTCGAGACATGTTTTCTATTAAATTACAAGAGTCATTGTATGGACTAAAACAATCTAGACGAATGTGGTATAATCGTTTCAGTGAATACCTTCTCAAAGAAGGATATAAGAATGATCCGATTAGTCCATGTGTTTTCATTCGGCAATCAAATTCGGGATTCGCCATAATTGCAGTATATGTTGATGACCTAAACATTATTGGAACCCCCGATGAAATTGAAAATACTGCAAATTATCTTATGAAAGAATTTGAAATGAAAGATCTCGAGAGAACCAAATTTTGTCTCGGACTTCAAATTGAGCATTTGAAGAATGGAATTTTCATCCATCAATCCAATTACACCGAGAAAGTTTAGAAGAGATTCTATATGGACAAAGCTCATCCGTTGACCTAACCAATGGTCATTCGATCTCTCAACATACACGATGATCCATTTCGTCCACGAGAAGACGACGAAGATATACTCGGTCCCGAAGTACCATATCTGAGTGCTATCGGAGCTTTAATGTATTTAGCTAATAATACTAGACAAGATATTGCATTTTCTGTAAATTTATTAGCTAGGTACAGCTCATGTCTAACAAGGCATCATTGGAACGAGATCAAACACATATTCCGTTATCTCCGTGGTACAATTGATCTTGGCTTATTCTTCCACAAAGACGCAAAAGCCTCTTTAATCAGATATGCAAACGCCGGATATTTATCATATCCTCAAAAGGCGAAATCACAAACCGGATACGTATTTACTTATGGTAACACCGCAATCTTGTGGAGATCTATGAAACAGACGTTGACAACTACATCATCAACTGATTCGGAGTTAATTGCACTATATGAAACCGGAAGAGAATGTGTGTGGCTGCGATCAATGATTCAAGACATCCAAAATGAATGCGGTATGAAGCCTAGTACTGTTTACCCTACTGTGATCTACGAAGATAACACTGCGTGCATAGCTCAAATTAAAGAAGGCTTCATCAAAGGAGATAGAACGAAGCATATATCTCCAAAAATTTTCTCTACTCACGACCTTGAGAAAGAAGGGACGATCAACGTTCAGCAAATCAGATCCAGTGAAAATCCAGCCGATCTCTTCACCAAATCTTTACCCCCGAAGAAGTTCATTGAACTTGTAAAGAAAATCGGCACGCGCCGTCTTCAAAATTTATGTTAATTTCAGGGGGAGAATTTGAATGCACTGCACTCTTTTTTCCTTCATCAGGTTTTTATCCCACTGGGTTTTTCCTGATAAGGTTTTTAACGAGGCAGTTCATCTAAATACAACGACATTATATGTCGTAATTTTTACCCCTTAATTTTCACAATAAGATGACAAATACATATTCAAGGACGAACATTCAAGGGGGAGTGTTGTAAAACCATCAAATTGACAAGTGTGAATTGTTCATCCTTGTCACCAAGACACCAAGATATTCCTGATCCTTGTAATGATCCTTGTAACCTAGTTAGAATAGGTGGGTCAATTTGTTATTGCCACCAAATCTGTAGACTCATCATTTAGGTGACTAATCATCAAGCTCAAACACTATAAATAGGAGTTTGATGAAGCCTTGTAAATTCACTCAGAAAATTCAGAATTTCTCACATATTAAGAACAAGAAGAATATCCAGTCTTTTATCTTTATATCTATCTCTTAAATCTATTCTGCATCTTCTTCATTTTACAATAAAAATATCCTATTAGCCTATTAGTAAACAGGTCCTAAACCTTTTTCAGCCCACTTCCATAAAAATTCCCACTTTAACCCTCATACATTTTCTTTAAGAGTTGTAGCCAGTGTTCTAAAACACGCGGAAAGGCGACGCCTAGTCGAGCGTAATCGTGAGGCGCAGCAATAACGCCTCGCATACCTTATAGGCGTGGGAAAAGGTGTTCAAATAGATTGAAACCTCATCCGAATTAAATTTTCACTAGTTGAGGAGGGCCCAACATATAGGCTTGCAAGGCTCCCGACGTACAAATTACTCGTCCCTGCGTATGAATTTATAGAGTTGGTAAAAGGTTGGATGCGCCTCTTCTTCCGGTGTGGGATAAATTGGATGAATACTACATACAAAAGGGAAGAACCGAGGCTTCAGTTTAGGAGCTTTGAAGTCAAAATTACATTGCATTGTCAACTCATCCAATCATCCATTAAAACTATAATTAAAACTATATCCCATAACATAACTTAAAATTC